GTTGTTGTTGTTGTTGTCTTCACATTAAAAACCATCCCGGTCTCTCTATCCAGTACCTCCTTCTGTCTCAATCTCTCCGTACTAATCCATCACTTGACTCGGCCAATTTCCGTGGTCACAGGCTAACGTACCTAGAAAAGGTATACCAAAATAAAATGGACCCCAAGGGTCAGCAGAGCGATAAAATACAAGAAAACAAATTATAATCAGAAACAAATAAAATAAAATAAAATAAATAATTAGACTAGTGGAACGGCCGCACCACCAGCCTGGGGGGGTAGCCTCCCACTACATGGAAGCAGGTCGACGGCCAAGGACGGTACTTCGTTTTTTTCGGCGGTATTTTTCTGGCGGTGGTACTGAAATATGGCGGTACCGTCTCCGGCGGTTCCCGGTACTGCCAAATAAATATGGCGGTTTTTTGGTGGCGGTACTGAAATATGGCGGCACCGCCTTCGAGGGTTGCGAGTAGACCAGAATATCAAAATATAAAATATAAAATATAAAATATGGCGATGCCAAACTACATTTCGGTGCCCTTGGCGCCCCATCAACCGGCGAACCTCTTTCCTCTCTTTCAGGATGGGTCGCTTTTTGTCTCTTGTATGTACGCTTGAGAGCCTGCATCTCCCATATGATTTCGTGATTTCACGATGCGATGCATACCCATGGTCAAATCGAGCTGTTCATGGACAAACGAAAGGCAACCTAAAGAAGAAAGAAAATGCAAAAAGAGAAGAGTGCGTGTATGACGAAAGAGAAAAAGAAAAAAGAAAAAACGTGAACAAAGACGCACGCCAGGTGGACTCGAACCACCGATCTGCGCGAAATGGCGTCGAATACAGTGCCCTATGCTACTCTAGAGGGCAACCCTGTAGTATGGCGGTACCGTTTTGGCGCTACTGGAGTACGGCGGTATTTTTTCGGCGGTACTGCAATATGGCGGTTCTCTTTTGGCGGTTCCCGGTACTTCGTTTTTTCGGCGGTTCTTTTTCGGCGGTACTGCAAAGTGGCGGTACTTTTTCGGCGGTACTGCAATATGGCGGTTCTTTTTAGGCGGTTCCCGGTACTTCGTTTTTTCGGCGGTACTTTTTCGGCGGTACTGCAAAGTGGCGGTATTTTTTAGGCGGTCGGCGGTTTTTCGTTTTNTATATAGTGAGATACTGTTTAAGATAATTCTCTCTTATACCGTAGCCAACACGATATAACAGAAAGCCGGATTTAAGAGAGTGAAATTGGCTTGTACCGACCCTCTCTTAAACCGTAGCCGCTACTGTAGTCCACTGGCGCTCGAATTGAAATGTATTCTCCCTCTTCCTTGCCTTGGGTAGGATCATCATCTATCTGCAGACTAATCATTCACGTTCATGCTCCCCTATTTCTACGGGGCTGTATATGGCACGTAGTGGCGGACCATGACAACGGTGCACATTCCTTGAAATTACTACTACAGTTTTTTGTAGAGGTCCAGGATAAACGATGAGGTTTCGCTTTTTGTTTTTCCCCTCGTTCATGCGCGACCACACGAAGACAAATCCCACTCTCAGAGCGTGTTGGGTGAGGGAGGCACACCGCGAAAGAGAACTACCGTATTTCCATGGTAAGTAGCATACGTTCCGATGTGCGTGTGACGCCGCGGTTGGAAAGGGCGCGGCCGGGCACAAGGACCGGGTGACGAAGTACGGGAAAAAAATGGGCGTTCGTCCCGTCTGACTGACGGGGTATTGCTGTGAGATAACCGGGTGTCACATGCATGCCCATACAGCAAAAGTACTGCATATGACACAAGACAACACACCCCCTGGACCGATTTTCAAAGCTCGATTGCTCCACGACGAAGCGGATGCATAAACAAAACGATATATTTTCGAAAAGCTCTCAACGAGACGGTTTCAATGCCGCCGTTTTCGGCGCTGTGACTCTTCCGGCAGTTGAGAAATCGAGCTTCGAAAATCGGTCAAGGGGGTGTGTTATCTTGTGTCATATACGGTATCATTGAGGCGAATTGTGAACCGTCGTGTGCTGACTGACGGGTTTTTCCCGCGAGATGACCAGGCGTTCCTGCTTGTTGGTTTGTTCGCGCCCCGCCCATTTTCCAACCACGGAACGACCCGAATCACGTTACGGGAGGGGTAGACACCATGCAACCCGTCCTCAATACATCCGCGTATCATACGAAATGAACCATACTAGGTGAGACCATCGCACGTTTTTTCACAGGTACAGCCAAATTTTTCGATACAAAAACGAAGCAACCGACACCAACTACAAGCGCACGTTCCACACGAACGAACAGACCGCAGGGAATGGGCCACTGGGTGCACGGGAAAACACACACACTGCACACAAACAAAGCACACCTGGAAAAGAAACGAGCCCGCCTGCTGCACGCACCACACCAACGTTCTGTACATCGTGCTCTACATTCTACACGCCAAAGGAGCGCTTCCCACGCCAGGGGGGGGGGCATGAACCCGATGCACCAAAAACATACTGTGTGCAGGACGTACACCCTCCGCACGAGTCGCCTTAGGTCTTAAGTTTAACCCGAGGTTTGAGATTTGACGTATTCTCCATCGCAACACAGTCACAACCCCATTGACGTGTCAACACGTCAGAGACGCACCTCTACTATATCTCCCCCGCCCATTGGCGCCCTCCCTTCCCAACATTCGCCGCAAATGGACAGCTTTAACACCTACCATCCTAAGGAACGTTCTCAAAGCCGGTTCGAACCCCACCCACACAACCAACCACCCAGCATTTCTCCGCGCGCCTTCCATGCCTCCACGAGCGTGAAAATCATCATCTTTAAGTGCTACGTACACCAACCTACGTTGCTTAGCAAGAAAAAACGTACGGAAGCTGTGCCGAACCGACCGCAACTTCAAGACTTTCGCATTTTGCACGAGGAATCCACCTCTGTTCCTTTGACCAGCAGCAACCAACAGCGGCTGAACAGCACAGCAGTTTACTGGGCCAAACCGACTCGTAATCTAAAGTCGCTTATTTCTTGAAATTGCAAAAAAACATGATGCTCAAGTCCCGGCTTCTACCATGTACTCTGTTAAAATGCCTAAAAGTGTACACTACGGCAAACCATGCTCCTCCCACTGGTGCCGTTGTGGCAAAATCACCGTTCGTTCAGATCAACCACCGCAGGCACACGGGGACAGCGCGAATGTCGAGTGGGGGTCACCCGACGTGTAGTCGCCCCTGCACTTTCCGAAGCTACGCACACATGTGGTGTGCCTGTGCCCCCGCGTCTATCCGTCCCTTACCTCCCCCCGCCCCCCCCGCGCCTCGACAATCGGACGATTAAGAATAAAACACAAGCCCTTCGGAAGAAGTCGTGCGGCTGCGGCTTCGGGGGGGAAGCGATCAACAAAGAATATGTGCTCCCCTTAATGGTGGCCAAAAGAGAAAAAAACGGAGCAAAACGAACGCTGAGTGGACGGTTGTGCCCTCCCTTGCGGGCACACGCACCGAAAACAGTAAACCAACCAGCACACGCAGGGAGAACTCGTCATCGTCTTGTATTTCCCCCTCTTGGAAATGTCCCCCTAACGGCCGAGTCAAAGCCTCCCCCCCGACGCTTACCGCCGCTGGTATGAACGGTCAGAAATGAAAAAATACACAAGGGTAGAATACAAACCCCATTACTAGAGCGGCGGCGGCAGCAGCAGCAGCAGCAGCAGCAGCGATCTCTATCACGGCAAGGCAAGAGGGGCGACGCCGGGCCGTCCGATTTCCACCCAGCCCACCCATCCAAAAATCTTATCCCACCCACCGAAAACCAGCCCAATCTCCGTGATGTCAATACAACCAAGCAACACACGCACCGTTTCCAAGGCCTCGGCATTCGTTGTGGCGCTGGAAAATACGGAGCGATTCATCCCTGAACGTAGAGAGGGTCGAATGATACCGCGGCGGCCACGACGGCAGCCGTGCTTCTCCTCTTCAGACCTTGGAGATTCGCTGGTAGGCCACCATCGCCGCGAAGATGCCGACGATAAGGATCACCGAGTTCCTCGTGGAGCTGAGGAACCCCTGCCCGTGGCCGCCGCCGCCCCCGCCGCCGAGGCCGCTCGGGGGCGGCGCGAAGAGCTTCCGCAGGCCGCGCTCGCGGCGGCTGCTCGTCGACCCCGTCACGGCCTCGCTCTCCATCACCACCTCGCAGGCCTCCGAGAGCCTCTGCCGCAGGGACCGGTTCCTGAACATCGCTGCCCGCCGCTCGCGGGCGGCCGCCACACGTCCTTCTCCACCACCCGCCGCGGTGCCTCCAGAGGCGGCGCCGCCGCCGCCGCCGACATCGGCAAGGGCGAGAGCCGAAGGGAGCCAGAAGCTCAGCTTCCGGTAGCTATTGAGGGAGGACCTGCCGACCTTGGGCGGCTCCCCGCACCGGCGGATTAGGCTGATTTTCTGCCGCGTGGACAGCCTTGCCAAGCAGCTGCCACCACCAGAGGGAGGGTTGTTTTTTCGGGCAAAAGCGGCGGCGGGACCGAGGGTGGGGTGAGAAACACATCGGGCTTGTGGCAGGGCAGTGATATCGGGTGCATGGTCTCTGTCGTTTACGCACAGCCCGCGGCAGCAACGCCTGGTGCTCGGGTTACGCGATGAGATGATCACGCGGGGAAACCACAAAAAGCAGGACGAGGTCTAGGAATACATCGCTGCTGCTATCGTGCCCAGAAATACAACACACGGGCCGAAAACAACATAGATGGCAACGACACCAGGCTGGCGATGATAGGTCTAGCCCGTGGGATTTCCATGGAAAACCGCAAGGTTTTGTAGGGAGGCATTCTGTGGCATTCTGGGTGACGCCCACTATTCGGATTTTGGCCCCCTCGGGGAACATTGGCTGATATCTACCTGCTGACACTGGCGTCTATTGCATAGGTCAGTCGGCTGAAAAACAAGTGGTCGATGATATTTGCAGAAACGCACAGACTCACACACGCACACCCGAGGAGGATCAAGTTCGCCGCTGCGACTTCAAAACACGCACCACAATCACAGAACGTGTGCCCCTTCAAGATACATAAACCACAGCAGTATTTTCCCAACAAAACAAGAGGAGCCCACCCAGCATACACGGACACAAGCGTGTTATAGATACAATCGCAGGAAGACTGCCCATTCCAGATACAACCACAATAATCCCCCTCGCCCCCCCCAAAAAAGAAAGCCCCACATACACCGACACACGTGTGCCCACATAGAGTTGGAAAAAAATATATATAGACTTACTCGAAAATCACCACCGATGTGCGGTCGGCAAGGTCCATCAGCTCCGGGCCGAGAACCTCGTCCGCCGTGACCCTTCTGCCTCCGCCGCCCCCGCCGCTGCTGCTTCCGGTGGACCCCGTGACTGCCTCGTCATCGTCCTCGAACGGAGAAACGCGTGCGTACCGAAGGCCGCCCGTCCCCGCCTCCACCTCGAACTCCGCAGAGGAGTTGCACCTGAAGGCGTGTGCGTGTGTGTGCGTGTTTTTTGTTGCTGTTAGCATCGACCTCGCTAGCCGGCTCTGACCACTGAGAAGACGTCAGCCTAAGTGCTTTTGACAACACCAAACGTGTGTTTTTTTGTTTTATATTGTTAGGATCGACCGCGCTAACCGGCTGACCCATGAAAAGACGTCGGGTGTAGTGCGGTTGAAAACGAAAAATGTCAGTTTTCATTATTACCATCGACGAGCTGACCGGCCGCCCGTTCCCGACTCCACCTCGAGCTCCGTGGAGGAAGTGCACCGGAAGGTGTGTGTGTGTTTACATTAAAATTAGCATCGGCCGCGATAACCGCTGACCAATGAAAAGAGATTTCAGTCTTACTAGCATCGACAGCGCCAACTCGCTGACCAATGAAAAAACGCCAGTCTTAGTAGCATCGACCGCGCTGGCCGGCTACCAACGCATTGACTCAGTGCGCTTGAAATACACATTTTTTCTGAAGGCCATTATCTGGAACCCCGTGAGGGGGCGTCGCGGGGGAGGCTACGCTACTCTCCGGTATGTATGCGTGTGAGCATTCCATCACGTATAATTATCAGGCGTGTAGTCTTCCGAGTGTACATGAGCTCAAATGGTTATAGCGTGTTTCGGCAGCTGTGAGAGGCGTGTGAGAAGATAGACGGTATCCGGTGAATACTATTCTCGTTCGTGTCCACTGCGCGTGCTGCTGCTTGTAAATCTCTCTGTTTCCATGTCTTGCTTCTTTGCGTGAGTCGGCGTGTTCTCGTATTTCTGATACAAGACTTGCTGAAGACAACGCGTACTTATGTTCTACTGGTTCCTCCCTGTCTTCGTTGCATACCATGACGGCTTTCTTCTAACGTGCGCGAAACATGCCCATCGAAATTTACCACCACCACCACAGAGCAACACTCATTTGTTAGCGTGCGGTACGACCGTGGGTTGTATAAGATGGCACACCGCCTGGACCGATTGTTCGAAGCTACCTCCTACCTCGACAGGAAAATCAGCGACGGCGTCCAAAACGGTGACGTTGGAATCGTCTCGACGAGAGCTTTCCGAAAACTTATCCTTTCATTCCAGCACCGTCTTCGTCGTGGAGTAATGAAGCTTGCAAAGCAGTTCCAGGCGTTGTGATATCTAACGCAACCTAAAGTACCCCACCCCCCGCTTGCCTGCCAACGCCCCGGCACATGATCAGGTACTGCCCCCTGTTCATCATGCGGGCGTCGCTGATCTCAAGGATGGCTCCCGACAGCCCCGTAGATGGCGACTGGTCCTGAAACACGGCAAAGCGCCGGGTGCTGGAGAGGCACCGGTTGACCATCGTGATGTAGCTGTTATTTGTGTCACCAGCAGTGGACGTCAAGGAAGCTGACCGTGAGTCGGGAGGTTGGGTGGAGCGGGAGATGGACGATAACGATCAGGTGCTCTTGGACTGCCCCAGTCTCTTACTTACACCATAGACCCCTCGCACCCCCAAATCTACACAGATTGGGAGCGCGGCAGGTCGAGTCTTTCACCGCCCACGCAAACCGACATAGAGAGGGAAAGGGAGGGGTGGTTCACATCAGTACAGTACGGTACGGTCTCGAGGGGAGAGTGTGCGTGGAGGGACCGGGAAGGAACACACCTACTTGGGGGGGGGGTTACACACGCGTGGCAAGAGCGTGCTGGTTGGTCGTGCGGCGCCGCGGGCGATGTCAACGACGGAGATCTGGTTGTTGGACTGACTGTGTTGCGAGCATGCACCGGCAAAATGACGCCGCCATTTGCGGTGACATGGATACAACACGTCCCTGGCCGGCCGAACCACATCGTGCCAACCTACCTAGCATGGGTCCAATTTGTAGTCAGGGGTGGGTGTCAAGCACTGCACTGCTCTATCGCGTCAAACGAGTAATTCTCTGGGTAAGGTTGTTTCGGCACGAACGGCGCATCATCACAAAATTATGCCTAACCACTACAAATACCGGGTGCAAGCATCTTGAGGGTAAGCAACACCGGCCCTTTGACCACGCGGAAACATATGTAGGAGGAGGGGGCCGCACGAAATACAGCAGAATGGGGTACAGACAAGTGGTGACGTACCGCTGCTGTGCGTACGGCTCACACACTTGATCGCGTGCTACAGCGAACGTCAACTCAACTCACCGGGGTTCGAAAAGATAGAGCGTGACGGGTTGGAGGGGGAAGAGGAGCATGTCGAGGAGGCACACGGGCATCAGCACCGATCCGTCCGGGGCAGGGGTAACGCTCTCTCCGATCGTGTGCGCGCGACGGCGTGTCTCGGCCTCCATCATCGCGTCGTGCTCCGCCTGGGCGTCGGTTTTGACAACCGATCGGCCGGATTGTTTAATCGAGATAGAGAGGAACACCAGGCAGCGAGGAGAGGCACGGAGTGCGATGCTACGGTGGTGAAAAACAGGAAGAACGCGGGAGACACATTCAAAAACGCAGAGCTTCTCCGCTGCCCACACTTGGCGCCAACTGATACAACCAGCGTGCAGGCTTCTAGGAGCTTCGCGTCGGTTTCCATCTACTACACGCCTCCGTCGCTGCCTACCCTTCCCACGCTCACGAGCCCCGTTCCCTATCCGCAGACCCCCTCCAACCGCACCCTCGCCCTCCGCGCCGTTTGGGGTCCCCCTGACACAACAACCCCCCCCCCCGCAATCTAGACTTCAGTGGGTTGGCGCTGTTGGCAAAGCGCTGTAAAACACGCCACCCCAAATATAGCCCTCATAGTCATAGTATGCGCTACCAAAGACGCGTGACGCATGGATGCGTGGAGTGAGGATTGCCTACGGAAACCTCACAGGTTGAGTGATGTAGGAGATTGCCGGACACATAGACGTGTTGAGTGATTTTAGCTGTATACTGAAACCCCACGGAAAGGGGAGGTTTGAGATTGCCAGACACATAGACGGGTTGCGTGGGGATAGCTGCTGGAACCCCACGGGTTGAGTGATGTTGGAGTGCCGGACACATAGACGCGTTGAATGAGGATAGACACATATTGAACCTCACAGGTT